CACCACTGGACCTTCCCTGTAGGCATTTCTTCATAAAGCCTTAGGCCTCATGTACCATCTTTGCATATTTTCTTTGGTCTCTCAGCAACCAATCCCACTACTCTGGGACAACCAGTCTCTGGACATGATATCATTGGAACAAAGGGGAGCTGGACCTGCTGACCTTCTAGAGGGCCTCTTCCTGCTCTAGTTGCTCCTTGCAACTTAAGGAGACAAAACTCTGTGAGAAAGAGAACAGGTTCCACTCTGTCCAGCAGAGGGGAGCAGCTAACCAGAAACCAGAACCTTCGCAAAGCCAGGTTTGTGAGGCAGGGCACGGCTCTGATTCAGAGGCCTTCAGTGCAGAAAACTTGCCCCTGAGCCAAAGAGTTCTAAGCAGAAGAGACCCTGCCCCTGGAGAGGGACCCCAAGGAAGTCCTCCAAGCCTTTTCCACTCTCACCTGAGGCATCCCAAGCTCCCTCTTCTGCAGGAAGAAGGTGGGTCAGTCACTAAATATTACATATTATACTGAAAGACACTGATTTTCTCTGGCCTCCTTACCAGTTTGGAGGAAATTATTCAAGCTAGGAAAGCAACAGAAACCAAATTAGACAAATAAACAAAAAGCTTCAAAAAGCAAGGTGTTATTCCTAGATTGACAAGTCTCCAGCTCCATGGACTCAGACTCCCTGTTACCATTTGAACTGTGCCCCCCACCCACCCAAAAGATAAGATTACCTCAGAGTGTGACCTTACTTGGGAATGTTCACCACAGATGTAATTAAGAAGAGGAGCACATAATGGAGTGGTGTGGGCCCCTGACCCAGTAGGCCTATTATTCTTTTTAAAAGAGAGAAATCTGGACACAAAGAGAGAGAAAGTGACCACCCATCCCACAAAGATGGGGTCTGAGTGGAGCAAGGCTGCCACAAGCCGGGAAATTCCTGGTCTACCAGAAACCAGAAGCACCATCCCTAGAGGCATGAGGAGGAGCTGGCCCTGTGGCATTTGGATCTTGGACTTGCAGCTCCAGACTTGTGATTTGGTTGGTTTCTGTGGTTGAGCCACACCTTGCTACAGCAGCCCTAGGAGGTTACTAGGCTGTCTCCACTCCACCTCCCACAGCAGACTTGCTCAGGGCTGGTCCCCTGGGCAGCAGGTCTTGTTTGGATGGCACATTGTTTGTTGTTGCTGCTGTTGGTTTCATTTGTAATTTGCATGCATTCAGCTTGGCCACCCCAGTTCCCAGGGGCATTGGAGTTATGCTCCTCACTCCATACTGCTCTGGGTGGGTAGGGAGGGGGACTTCTCAGCCTCCTCCCAAACTCCTCTAGGATGAGCTGTTCCTTCCCTCCCTAGGATTCTGGTTTACACAGAGCAAATCTGACCTAGAGAAAGTTCTTTGTGCTGGGTAAATCCTGCCTTCACAAGCTTTGGCCCACCAGTCTGGCCTAGTGGTCTAGGCCCAATGGAATTCCATGATGCCATTTGCTTTAGATGTTTGCACATAGATACTTTGGCTTATCTCATCTGATCTCCTGTCCTGGGAACTGTCTGGTCTTACCTCCCTCAGAATGTCCTCATTAATGTGGTTTCCTGGTGGTCACTTGACCTGAATAAGCTACAGTTTGTTAAGCTCTCCCATGTGGTTCAGAGACCGACCAGGACTGGCCATGGTATACCTGGTGTACATTCTAACCAGAGTCAAGAAGGCAAGAGCATCACCTCCCTAGCTCTGAACTCAGTATCTCTACTATTACCATTACAACACTAGGGGAGCAATGAGGAAGATGAATTGTTTGACCACCAAGAACTCTTCCACAGGTGCCAGGGTACAGTGTGAGGATGATAAACTGCCAGCTGGAGGAAACAGTAGTATCAACCTCAAATCTTTTATATTTAAATTTGATCATGTGATCACCGTACACTCATGAAAACCACCCATGACTTCTATAACCTTCATGTCCAGCTGTGCTGTGGCCTACTCTCAGCCTCATGCTTGATGATTCAACCCCTAAACCATACCCTGATCTCAGTCCCTCTCACCTGAATTATACCCTATGTCAGTGAGGATTTTGGCAAACAAACAAGAGCCATTTCAGGTAAGTCCAGCTCCCGCAGGGCACTGATAGAGAGGCATCAGAAGGTCTCAGAGTCAGTGGAACCCTGGGGGCCAGGTTTGAGAATGCTAAGGGCCCAGCAGAGCCCTGGATGGCCAAGAAGCAGAAGTAATTAGGAACTGTGTTTGGTCCTGAGGAGCAGACACACGAAGAACAGAGCCCAAGAACAGCGTGTTCTGTTTTTCTCATCTAAAGAGAAGCCTGACGTGGGGGAGTCCAGAAGGGTGCAAGGCCTAAGGGTGTCAGGCTTGAATTCTTTGAGCTACTCCATGCTTCTCCCTCACTTCAAGATGACCATGGACCGCCGGTCTCTAGCTCGTCCTTCAGGCATGAAGGGTGGGAATGAAGCAGCAGGGCCATCACTCCCTCTGCCCGAGGCCTGGGGGAAGCCCCTCTCCATTACTACTTCCCTCCTCTTATTGACCAGACTAGGTTGTATTTTATGATGGTCAATTTTATGTGTCAATGTGGCTGAGCCTCTGTACCCAGATATTTGGTCATATAATCTGACCTTTGCGTGAAGGTCTTTTTTAGATCAAATAGGCATTGAAAGCACTAGAGCTTGAGTAAAGCACATTACCCTTCACAATGTGGGCAGGCCTCATCCAGTCGGTTGAAGCCCTTAAGAAAAAGACTGACCTTCCTGAGGAGAGAATTTTGCCTGCCTTCAGACTCCAGCTGCAAGGTCAGCTCTTCCCTCGGCCTCCAGCCTGCCAACCTGCCTTGCAGACCTCAGACTCCCACGCCTCCACAGTCACATGAGCAAATCCCTGAAAGCCTCCTTCTCGATTCCATTTCTCTAAAAACCCTGAAAAATACAAATGGGAAAAATGATTTTAGCTGAGTACATGGTTATCCCTCCCACTTTTTTAAAAAATCAGGGGTTCAAAGGAAAGGAAGGAAGGGAAAGGGATATTTGGTAGGTGTTTTAGTTTGCCTTTTCACTGTTGTGACTAAAAGGACCCAACCAGAACAACTGTAGAGGAGGAAAAGTTCATTTGAGGGCTCCTGATTTCAGAGGTCTTAGTCCATAGAAAGCCAGCTCCATTCCTCAGGGTTCAAGGTGAAGCAGAACATCATGGAGGAAGAGTGTAGCAAAGGGAAGCAGTTCACATGTTGATCAGAAAGTGGAGAGAGAGAGTCTCCATTTGCCAGGTACAAATATATACCCCATAGCCACACCCCCAATGAACTGCTTCCTCCAGCCACACCCCACCTGCCTCCAGTTACCACTCAGTTAATCCCATCAGGGATTAATTCACTGATTAGGTTAAGGCTATAGCCCAGTCGTTCCTCCTCCAAACCTTCTTGCATTGTCTGTCATATTTAAGTACTCTTTTCTACCAATTCTAGAGGTTCTGTTCTAGTTTTCCTGAAGTCTCTTTCCCATTGGTGTGTGGTGTAAGACGAAGCACATTTTTTCCAGGTGTTTAGGGGAAGCGGGGACACTGCTGATCATGGCCAGGTCCCTTTTCCAAAGCACTGAATCTCCAGTCCACGTGGCTTAACAGAGCACAAAGTGGGAGAGGGTGAGAACAGCCAACACTGTCAACACAGCCTCAGTTCCTCAATTGTGGCTTGCAATGGCCTGCTTGCCTGAAATGAAGGCTAGTTTGCTTTTAGACAGTGTTTCTGTGTCAGAACTTCTTCTCAGAATTTCTCAGGAGGTGCATGTTTTTCTGAACCCTGAGTCTCAAGAAAAGAATCACTTCAGATATCAGGAAAATGGGGGAAAGCACTAAAATTCTGCAGAAATTCAAGTTTAACAATAAACCTAGAGACATTATGGAAGGAATTCACTGATGTCAAGTGGAAGCAAAAGCACGAAATACTGGTACTTAGATAAGCTAAGTCCAAGGCTAAGAACATCTGGGAACACACTGTGAGTGGAAAAGCCACTTTTAAGTCCTCATAAGCCAGTCTGGCTTGTGGGACTGCATATTCTAAGTGTGTTCTTGGCCCTGACAGTTGCTAACAGTGAATCTTCTTACAAATATGAAAACTATTAATGAGTTTATGTGCACAGTATATCTTATACAAATCCTATAAGTGGCATTATTTTGGAAGCGAAATAAGTCCTTAAACTGGCAATTTGACACCTCATTCCATGTGATGGTTGACCTTTCCAAGAGGCCCCAATGTTATATTATCCTAATATTATCCGATAATGCTCACTGGAGCTTTTCACTCTTGGAATCTTTACTATAGGTAACAGTTTTTGTAAAGCACACAGAATATTTTTTTGAAAGATAAGAAAGTACATGAAGAAAGATGTATCTAAATTAGAATTTCAGGATTTCCCAGGGTTCCCTGATTTTTTATTTCTTGTTCCCAATTCCCAAAGATTGAAAACACTGTATCAAGGGTCAGAGAGGACCAGGGGTTGTCTTTTCATTCATTCAACAATTATTTATTGAGCAACTTCCTATTTTTCAGGCACTGAGTCACTTTGAGACCATTGTAGTGAATAAGTCAAAGTGACTACCTTAGGGAATTTATGTTTCAGAGGAGAGAGACAAACAAAAATGTTTAACACAATCTAATGTCACAAAATGATAAATCCAATTTAAAAAGTGAAGCAGAGTCAGGTTAGAGTGGCAGG